GCTGATTAAGTGGTGTTTTCTCTTCATGTTACCAGTATGGAGTTTCTTCTTTCTTCCACTTGCTTCACGTGATTGTCCATCGCATTCTCCTTGAATTCATCTGCATATATTGTCACGTGTTTATTGCCGTGACTAGTAATAACGGGGTTTGGACTGGATGATTGGATTTATTGATCGCTCCTTAGAACCACTCGTAAACACAATAAATTAGAATAACTCGCAGTAAATCTTCAGTCGAACCTTTCCTCCCTGACCGCTGAGGACTCGCACCATTCTCGCTCTCTCTAATTTGATTCTATTGTGTACTACTTATATAGTCTCGAAGCGGATTCATAGAAAACACCGCTTCCTCTATTGTTGTAATTACATCGCCGTTCCTTATCAACGGATGTTATTCGATTTTTGCCTGCGTATTCGTTGCCTCGTGAATGTGTTTACCGAGTCGTCTAGCAATGATTCTACATGTCACAATATTAATAAATCGAATATACGTGTATTTAACAAGTGCTGAAATTAATTGTATCTCAAGCGAGCAAATTTTGAGTGACTTCATTTCTTAAACCATTTACTACGTTGAAGGATATATGAATTCCTCTTTTATCGCCTTATATTTTAAAATGTATATAACTTCTTTATTATTGAAGGAAACTGTGTAACTCATTCATAGGTCGTTCAACACGCTTGGAAAATGTGTTTGTTTTGGGTGGCAAGGCTGACCTGGCAACAACGAGAAGACATCTATACATTCATTCATTCATTCATTCATCAGTAATCTGTCAGACGACAGGTCCACAGTCTCTTCCAAAACAGTTCCTCCACTTAATGCGATCTTCTGTTTTTGGAAAGAGACTATCCAGGAAAAGTGATAATGTGGTAGTTTTTCCATTTGCTTTCCACATCGCAGTACAACAGCCGTTCAAACCACTCTGGTCACGCCTGTTGCTATACGAACTTGAACCATCTCGAGCATCATTTGCTCTGTGCTTCAAGTCGCTGCTGATGACGCTGCTTCCGGCATCAGTTTTTGGTGTCTCTCTTCGTCTGATGCCTACCCTTTGACCTGTCCAGCAAGGGAGGCCCTGCCAGTAGCTACGCTACCGCTGGTATAGCTCTCAGGGTCCTTGGCATACTCAAACCCCCTCACCACGATAAGGTGGAGACACCAACGAGGTGTCGACAGAAAATGTCTCTTGTCATAACCCTTTACTCTTCTTGTAATTCATGTGTATTTGTGGAGAAACCACATCTTCGAAATTTTCTTTCTTTCTTTCAGATGAAACATGTTTTAACATGACAGATACATTTCTGTAGTGTGTAGAATGACCTATGTAGGTTCGACACAGTTGCGTTCAGTAAAAAATAAGTTACACAAATTTTTACGAATAAGACGACAAAGAAACCGACATGAGTTCTATTAGCTAGAGCGACACCTGAAGACGAATTTCACGGAACGGTTTCTAAGAACAAAGAAAGTACACAATATTTCACACAGTGTAGACCCCAGCGATTTCCTTCTTGGTCTATGCATGTTTACGTCTCTGAACATGCCTATATACCGTTCTGATCCATCATCTTCTGGCAGCTGTATTGGAATTCTGATTTTTAAGCTCACGGTCTTATAAAACTGGCTGGAACATTCTCTAGAGCAGTGGCTTTCAAGCAGAGTTTTCCCGTGGCCTCGTTTTCAAAACAGAAATATGTTCTGCTCTCATGTAACCTAAAATATGTAACTTTTTCACGTAAAGTAAATGCTGTAAGGAAGACTTTTCTCGGTTCACGAATTAAAGAAAGGCTTGAGAAATGTGTAACTACTTTCATTTTCTGCGGCTTATTAAATTTAATCCTGCCAGCTGGACGCTCCTCCGCAGCTAACCGAAGAGTCATTTTTTTGGCCGGACTTCCTACTCAAGAAATGGGGGTGAAGTTTTTTAGCCTTGTAGCACAATACCCATGTAATAATAGTCAATTAATGTACCGAATATGTGAAGAATGCTTAGTCACAGAACCAGGAGCTGTTTCCGCGTGGGCATGGCTGTCGCAGCTGCAGATCTGCTGTAGGCTCTGAACCCACTAAACATTTCGATTCTGGGGGACATACCAGTTTGTATCGGGACCCGTCGTCTTTGTTTGATTAAATAACTGCCACACGTAGTTTCTAACTGCAAGAAGAAGAAGAAGAAGAAGAAGACTGAGGAGCTAATAATCCCTTAGCTATTGAGCAAGATACCGCTTCTGTGATCTTGTGGTCAGAGTGTGGCTACAGATCCAGAGATTCGGGTTCAATTCCAGGCGCTACCATATTTTCTGAGAAGTAGAGGGTCTGGAACGGGTTCCCCCCAGCCTCGTGAGGATAACAGGGGAGCTATTTCAAAGAAATAGCGACTCCGGTCTAGAAACCCGAGATTAACGTCATTTTGAATACGTTGCGCTGACCACGTGACACTCTCTATCCGCAAAAGTTGACACTGACTTCTTCGACAAGCCACGGTCGCTCGGTCGGTATAGTTCGCTTGCGGACTACAGGCCACGGAGTTTGTTTGTTATTGAGCAAAATTCCCATCAACTGCAGAAATCGAGTTTGGCTGTCGAGCTCTCAAGATCCCGTATCACTTGACTCGTTTCTGAACAAGACGAATGCAGTTCACATCCCCTCAGCTGCATACAGTCCAACATTAGCTTCTTAATTATTCCTGGGTCTGCCAAGCGTCACTTCTGATTTCTCTACAAGCCATTTATGCATAGTTTCGGCTCCCAAGTTGCTTTAAGGAAGGTATTATTCACTCACTCATGGAGCTGAGCCCTTCTTGCGAAGCTGCCAATTCTGCAGCTACTCAAGTACTTCCCAGAATTTTATGGAACCCAAAGATTAATTACCATGTTCACAATAGCCCTCCATAGGTCCGTATTCTAAGCCACATCAATCCAATCCATACCATACCATTCTGTCTCTCTAAGATTCATTTTAATATTGTCCACCGACCTACGTCTTGGTCTTCCCAGTGATATCCTTGCTTCTGGCTTTCACACCAATGTCCTATATGCATTCATCCTCTCCAAATTCGTGCTACATGCCCTGCCCATCTCGTCCTCCTTGACTTCATCATTATAATTATACTTGGAGAAGACTACAGGTTATGAAGCTACTCAGTATGCTGATTTCTGCGACCTCCAGTTACTTCATCTCTGGAAGGGATTATTAGTGTTTAAAAACAATATTAAACGCGAGACAATTATAAGCGTAAATTTATGATGTATTTTTCCATTGTCCCCCTATTAGGAATCTCGTGAGCCACAATTGACTTTATACAATATAACCTGAAATTATGTTTCTCTATCGAGTATGGAGTTGACTACAAGCAGACTCAGAACTTTCTATGTACGAAGTGCCTGGAAATGCAAAGCCCAGTTTCTACAGCTACCTAAGTAATAAACAAACAAAAACAAACTCCGTGGTTTCAATCCCGCAAGCGATCTATACCGACCTAGCGACCGCCGTTTGTCGGCGAAGTTAGTGCCAACTTTAGCAGATAGAGGGTGTCGCGTGATCAGCACAACGAATCCCCACGGCCGTTAATTCGTGTTTTCTAGACCGAAGTCGCTACTTCTTTTAAATAGCTCCTCAATTATCCTCACGAGGCCGAGTGGACCACGTTCCAGACTGACTACTCCACAGAAAATCTGGTAGCGCCGGGAATCGAACCCGGACCTCTGGATCTGTAGCCAGGAACTCTGACCACTAGACCAAAGAGTTCCCATAAATACTAGCAAGTATCAACGTCAGTACCCTAATTAAACAAACGTATTTCTGTTGCTAAACAGGTGACAGTGACATAGCGATACGCAGGTGTGCGTTTTCTGAGGATTTGCTGACATTATACAGACGTGGCCTACCGACTGAACCCTGGTGTGGATATCGACTGAGTCGGGGTCCGGTGAAAGTAAAAGCCACATCTCTCGAAATAAGGGGACCCACACAAAGCAGTTTCCTACTGACTCTCAGTGAGTCCACCCCCAGTTCTCGAACAGCCCCAAAGAAAAGGGTGATTTTAACTGTATGCAGTGCACATTCAACAGTCACGTGTGGCAGAAGGAATTATACGTGACACGATACTATTCACCCTCAAGCATTTATTTCGATAAGCTACAGAAAGCGTTTACACTTCTGTGTCGTAGTTATGGCCTAGCTTCCTTGTTTTATAAGAGGCTACGGTAATTACAGTAGATATTAGGAGAACCACTACTGACAGCTTAGCGTAAGTTACAAAGTGAATGCGCAGTTAATAACATTGAAACGTAAGATATGGAAAATTGTACTGGGAGTGATATAAATGATTCATTTCTCTCTGCAGCGCATTCGCAAAACGTTTTTCCCCCAATAAATATTTAAGAAGTTATGCTCGTGAAATGAATAGAAATGCAGGCAGGTCTCCATATGAAGCATCCGTTACGTGTATGTAGATTTGAAGGCTTCGTCAGCGGCGGGTATGAAGAAGTTTGCCTTCCGGGATACAACGCCATGAAGTCGGTTGAGAGGCTGCTTGCTTCCTGCTTCAAGCTGGTTTCTTGCGTGGCTTATTCTTTGACCCTGAAGATGGGGTGACATATTTCTATGAAATGTCTATAGACTTTCAACTGACAACACCGCGTTATATCCCAGGAAATAAAACTTCATATCTGTCAAGTTTTATTTTTTTCGATTTTAATCAAACTGAAATGTATTCTTAAATACCTCTATTCGTAGAACTCTACAGTATCAGATTTAATGAGAATCCGTTTGAGATGTTTAAAGCTTGCGGAAGAACAGACATATGGATGGAGAAATTTTAATATGCGTTCTGCAGGGTAGCGGATATGTGGTTAAACGCGTTTCTGGCGACAGTATTGGTCACGTCGCTTGTAATAAAGCAACTCACACTGAACATGTGGGGTGGATCGCCAATGGCTCCAAAGTACAAAGGCATTCTTTTATGTCCGATGACATCAGGGGCGAAGCTACTCACATGCGGTGCACGCCGCTCGCTAGGTTGCTGGGGATTTCGGTGAGTTCTACGCCACCACAACGACACTCGACTTCCACGTCGCGTCCATCCTCCGTGGTGTTCCAGCAGTCACAAGCCCCGTGCAGCTCTGTGCCCCACTCCGCGTCAAACACCGGCAGAGGGTCGGACCCATCATCTGCAGGCTGGTTGCTCAGCACAGCTTCCCACCCGACTTCCGGCTTCACTTCTTCAGGCTCGTACCTGATCACGGCTTCCTCCTTACCTGGATACGTCTCTAGCCCAGGAAGAATTTTGTGATGGAACCCTACATCGGAATGTATGACTGTCCCTGAGTCTTTGTGCGGCTCGAGCCACGATTCTTGCTCCAGTTGCGTCACTGACTCCGTGTCTGTCCCGTGAACGACAGTAGCTCCAGGAGTGGGAAGTTCTTCCGCGTCCGTTACAAGTTTCAGCACCTCCAAAATGGAAGCGAGATGGAACAGTCTGTGAAAATGAAATGCGTATAAAATTATTCTCTTAAGTTAAGGCTAAGAGCTGACCTTACGAAAACCAAGCGAATCTCATATTCATGAATACTTATGTTCAGTTTTGATACAGAAACATTACTACAAAGTTAGCAAAATATGTAAAGGCGTGGCAGAATTTTCCATTTTAAGTCGTACATTTGGCTGGAAATATCTCGAATATAAATATGATCTGAAAACCCTGTCCTTTTTATTTGAGTTATTTGATTTATTGTTAAGAATTTTGTTCAGAACTTTTGTGAATATAATTTTAGGATAATACAACAGAATAAAAAATGTGGGTCTCCTCACTTTGTTCTCTCTAGTTCAGAAATATCTCTGTTCTCTCTTCAAAGGCGATAAAAACTTCATCAGTTCCTTCCTAGTCTGCAGTTCTTTGGTGCTGAATATGAATTAGTTTTGAGTTATACAGTCTTAGTGACCCGGTCCTACTCGTGACACATTTTCAACGCATTTCCCATCCTCTCCACACGCGCTCAGGTATGAGAGTCCGCAGGCTCCAAAACAGAGCTTGGACAAACACGCGCACACATGCACATACACACACACTCAAGCGGAAATTTCATTTGCTGTTGAGTTTCGCTTCAATCTAACATGAAAACGCGAAGTTTTTTAGGTTTGAAAGTGACATATTTCCTCATACTTTTTGGTAAGCTTGGATTATTTCAGCATTGGCCTATACGGCAGCAATGGGACTTCAGTAGTGTTATCTTGCGTCACAGCCAAGGTTTTCTGGAACATATTATTAATCCTAATGCTCAAGCTATACGGGCTATAAATATTTATATTGAGAGCAATATTAAAGAAAATCATTTTCGTGAAAACAACAGACAAATGTTTGGCCTTATATATATCTATTGTTTCCCTATTAACAAGTAGTAGTGCCGTTATTATTTAACTAGGTGCTTCCAACTTTACGTTGACGCTATAGAGACAGCTCTAGTCAGTCTTGAATAAACTAGGACGTCTACATTCCGGAATACAACAAACTCCGTGGCTTGAGTCCGCAAGCGAACTACACCGACCGAGCTACCGCCGCTTGTCGGCGAAGTTAGTGCCAACTTTAGCGGATAGAGGGTGTCACGTGGTCAGCGCAACGAATCCCCGCGGCCGTTAGTTTCGGTTTTCTAGACCAGAGCCTCTATTTCCTTGAAGTAGCTCAGTTATACTAAAGAGACTGATTGGACCATGTTCCAGATCCACTACTTCTCAGAAAATCTGGTAGCGCCGGGAATCGAACCCGGGACCTCTGATCACTAGACCACAACGGCGGTCACATTTCGGAACACCCGAGGAATATTTGTTTTTCGCCGTGAAAGAAAAACAGGTAGTTATAACGGTACATTTTAACGCAGCTAAGCCACTTGCAAAACAGCTGCTCCAGCAGTGGCCCTAACTTTCACATCAATAATTTTATATCCGTTCACTATCCTTGAAGTCGCAAGTACAGTCCGATGAAAACTTCCAGCTCGTATTATACAAAGTCTTCCCCAAACAGCTGATTAGGATATCCGAGACCGGGAGTTGGAATTTGAGGTCCTCACAGCAATGGAATGTAATGTTGTGTAGTCCGTTAAAATCACGGTTGAAGCTACCCGCTTCTTGCTAGTTCTTTGATTTTCTTACTCTTCAATCTTGAAGATGGAGGCGATATGTCACTGTGAAACATCGGTTGACTTTCAACGGACTACACGGCGCTATAACCAGAAGACAAAACTCTTCAAGGGTTGTTTAAAGTTTCCATGCGTGAAATGTGGAATGTGAAACTGCAATAATTTACGTGTAACTGCGAGGAAAAATATTATCTTTCAGTTTCAGATCACACTGTGTCATTCCTCCTTTCACAAAACTGTACTACTTAAATCCAGGGCACATGCACTGACTGAAACAGGGGTGCCGTAAGAAACTACAGGCTTACAGAAATAAATAAAACATAATAAATTGTGTAGTTTTGAAGAACATAAACATAGTTGGAATATGAAGAAAGCAGTCTTCTGGGATTTGGCACCGTGTATATGTGGTGTTAACCGACGTTTCGGAGGAACGTATCGCCTCCATCTTCAGGGAACCGGTACCGGTTCTCACGGTCTCTTCGCTTGCGGATTTCTTATATTTTTCCTTCTACCCTGAAGATGGTGGCGATACGTTCCTCCGAAACGTCGGTTAACACCACATATACACGGTGCCAAATCCCAGAAGACTGCTTTCTTCATAGTCACCGCCGTGAAAGCCTCAAATCTTACATAGTTGGAATAAATTATTGATTGTCAAATTTTAAGTAAGGATTTAAAGCGTTCTATCCGCGTTCATACTCAGTCTCGACCAGGTTTCAGGATATGATTTATTTATATTTACTTTGTTAATATTTATTCACACCAAAGGATGACATTCTTACCGTCACAGCCCAGTCAGTTTTGGCGGAACATGTTTAAACTGCACTGCATTGATCAGACCATATATATATATATTTCATGACAGAACGTTTACCGTCCAGGTAGCCTGCTTCGGTGTATCACCACGTTCTGAATTCTGTCGTACATGTTGCCTATTGATTCGGGGAAGTGAAGTCTCACACTCGTGTAAGCAAAAGCGTTAAGGACTGCAGGCTGCAGTGCGCACAACAGGTGTCAGTTCAATCGATTGCCTCCGTTTCTAAGCGGTCACATCGTTTACGTATTGCACGCCTTAGTTATTTACGAACTGTTCTACGTGTGTAGGCACATGTCTATCAGTCAGCCTGCCTTTCATTTCACCACTCATGTGCACGCTGCACGTTAGTGTCAACCGACAGCTCACATTAACCTGGGGATATATTACAAAATTAATTATTTCCAGTCTTGCAGCGTGAAATGACACACTTGAAGAGACAAGTCCTAGCTTCACACTTTATATTTCTCATCAGTTCATTGGTGCAATGAACCTTTGTGTTTGCACTGGTACGGCACAATAAATCCTACAATATTACTCACTGACAACAAATTCGGAACTGAAAATAATACAGTCAGACAGACACTCGTGGTGACGTAAGCCTCAAATACATAAAATGCATTCAGCCACTAAGATAAACTACACGTTAGCAACAAAATTCTACAATTAACTTTCTTATCTTGGCTATATCTGTCTTTCAGTCAGTTTGAATGTACCAAATACAGAACCGTCGAACGAATTTCATAACATTTAATATTAGGGAATATTCTATGTTCTTTGTCTCTATTCCAATTTCAGTACGAATGGGCAAAATACCGGACATTTCTTAAATGCCTACTTGCTTATCTGCATGCATTTCTAGCTTAATTCGCTCAATGTTTATAGGCGAAATGATATGTTTCTAAGAGAGAGTGTAGAGAAAAATTAAACGTAAATTTGTCTAATATAACTTTAGGCAAATCATAATTTTTTTTAATTAATTACATAAATTGTGCTGTGTCATCAGAACAAAACGTAGTCATATACGTGTACGTATACATATATGTGTGTGGGTTTTATGCGTACGTAATATAAACTTGATTCCGCGTAGCGTGTACCGAGCAAAACGTTTGGATTGCCTGTAGTCCGCCGAGGATTCGAAGCAGATACCTACTGAATACGTGACATGAACTGAATACCGCTCAATACTATATATTCCATGTGAAACATTAAGAAGACGAAGAGTGAATGGCGGAGGAAGAAAGGGAGAGGACGTAAAGAAACAAGAGAGAATTATCGCAAGCTACTTCAAGTTCATTCGTCTGGGTCACTCCATCAAACAGAGTTAAAACAGTTGGTAAATAAATGTGACACGAATTTCTTCATGGGAGATCTCCTTAAACCTGTTCTCACGTTCCAACTCCCTGGGACAATTCTAACTGCGTAGGATTTGTGCTGGCCACAGCTCTACTGTATGTTATTTGAAACGTATAGACTAGCGATAACCAACCTCACCCCAGGCTTGCAATGCGAGAGGTTGGAGGGAGGGTTGTGCACCACCACTTGGGCTCGTCATTCCCTTGTTCTGCTTAGTTCGCTGTCTCTTGATCGCTCTTGATTTGTTTCTATGCAAGAGACCGTCCAGTCGCGGATGTTTCGTTAGACAACACTAGACACTGCCCCTTTTTAGCCTACTCTCCTTATTTTGAAAAAAAAAAAAAAGATTATGCATATGCGATCTCCGTGCTGTCTGTGTTTCCCCCGCACCCATCAACTTCTGAATGGCTGAAACTTGGTGTGAGCTCATTTCAGTGGCGTACTTCAGTGTGCGTGCCTATATGTGCGTTCCTCCGGTCGTGGGTAGTATATTTTTATTTCATTTATTTGTGATTTGATAAATGAAGCCACGAGTAACTCAGAATTTTTAGGGTCAAATGATCGAATTACATCGATTCGTGTTTTGAAAAAGATTACAGGTGCTACCAAACCGGCATTTTCATAGAGGGACTGAGGAAACCCAAGAAACATTTAATTCAGGATAGGCAATGTTCCGACCCAAATTCGAACCGAGGACCTCCTGAATACAAATCAGAAGGGTTACCGACTGAGCCACCTTGCTCGAGTACTCACTTCACCAACTAGACCATCGCAAATAAAAGAAAGATTTATCCAATAAAGTATGTCGTATGGTCGTGGCCTACTTAAGGCGTTCGAGTCGAGCTACTAAGTAACACACTCAACCAGCATAGCCGAGGCTAGAGCTTGTGACCTCACGGGTACGAAACAAGCCTGATAACCCCTACACCCGGTACCCATTCATCAACAGCGGGGCACAGTGAACAGACACACCGGACACACCCTCTGTCCACAGCGAGGCTTGCACACCGGTAAACTTGCCAGTTAGGGCAAGTTCCGTCTGTAGACTAGAAAATAGATATCTCTAGTCTGACCTTACGCAAGAAGATAATGACAGGATCTGTTTCGTCATTTTCCTAAATTACATCAGCAGAATTAGCAGTAATAGCTTAAAATTGGCCACATCCACTTCCACAC